GGCGGCGGTGTGCTGCTGCTGCTGCAGCTGCTGCTGCTGCTGCCATTGCTCTTGCTGCTGTTGCTGCAGCTGCTACAAGCGTTGCTGTTGCGGCTCAAGCTGCTGTTGCTGCTGCTGCTGCTACTTCTGCCGCAGTTACTCTTGCTACTGCTTTCCGTGCAGTTGCTGCTGCTGCTGCTGCTTCTACGCTTGTTGCTGCAGCGGAGTACGCTGCTGCTGCTGCTGCTGCTGCTGCTACAGCTGCTGCTGCTACTACAATTTATTGCTGCTGCTGCCGCTGCTGTCGTTAATTGCTTAAAGGAAATAAACCTGTGATGTAGCTTTCAGGTGTACATACACCTAAGCTGTTCTTGCAGCAGGAGCAAGCAGCAGGCTGCGGCGCACTGCTGCTGCTGCTGCTGCAGCTGCTGCTGGAGCAGCTGGTGCTGTTCTCGCAGTAGCAGCAGCTGCTGCTGTTGCTGCTGCAGCTGCTTTCTTTCGGGGGTCCGATAGGAGACAGAACAGCTACGGAGAGAGGGGGGGGATTGCGATGATTTGCTGCTGCTGCTTCTGTTGCTGTTGCTGCTGCTGCTGCTGCTGCAACAGAGGCTCGTGCTGCAGCTCCTGCTGCTGCAGATTGGGAAAAAGTACAGCGATGGCTGCTGAAGAAGTAGCCGCTGCTGCAGCAGCAGCAGCTGCAGAGGCAGCAAGACCTGTTGCTGCTGCTGTTAATGGAACCAGCCTGTGACTGCTGTGAGGGAACTACAGCAGCAGCAGCAGCTGCTGCTGCTGTTACTGAATTGCAGCAGTGGGTTGCTGCTGCTGCTGTCTTGCTGCTGCTACTGCGGTTGCCGTTGCTGCTGCTGTGTGGAGACAGGCACGCCATTAGGGGTTCTGCTGCAGGTCTTGCTGCTGCAGGTCTTGCTGGTGCTGCTGTTTGATTTGTTGCCGGAACTGCTGCACCCGCAGCGTGGGGCGAGTCGAGCGGGCACCTGCTGCAGCAGCAGCTCTCGCTGCTGCTGCTGCTGCTGCTGCTGCTGCTGCTGCTGGTGGTTAGACCACGTGGAGCGTGATGGGGACTTTGACGGAGACAAGCTGGACGAGTCTCCTTCTGTTTGCTGCCAGGTTTGCTGCAGCAGCAGCAGCAGCATGTCTTGCATAGACGAGAACGAGGTGGGCCTTAAAAGTGCCCCTGGTGAGCTTCGCCGTCTCCAGCCGAACCTCCAGGCGCTCGCCCTGCTGCTGCTGCTGCTGCTGCTGCTGCTGCTGCTGGAGGTGCAGCAGGTGGCTGCTGGGGAACGCGAAGAGCAGGCGGGCCAGCAGCAGCGCGCCCACAGCACTAAGTCTCTTTCCAGTGAGGGACTTTTGCAACTGTCTCCGGTCTCCTTTGCCTCCCCTCACAATAACTTCCACCACTTGCTGCGGCAGACTCCACGGGGACACCCCCAGCACTTCTGCAGCAACTCCGCTGACCATTGGTGCCGCCATGCTGGTCCCGCTGGTCACTCTGTACGCCCCCTGCGCGCCCGCGG